GGATGGTGGATGGATGGTGGTTGGATGGTGGTTGGATGGATGGATGGTGGATGGATGGTGGATGGATGGTGGTTGGGTGGATGGATGGTGGATGGATGGTGGATGGATGGTGGTTGGATGGTGGTTGGATGGTGGATGCATGGTGGTTGGATGTAATGCGTTTGGCCCAGCCTGACTTCCTGTGAGTCCAGGTCCAGCAGACGTTCAGAGCCGTTTCCTTGGCGACGGCATTTTGTCAGAGTAAACATGAAGCAGCGTGTTGGTCTGCAGCCGCCAGCCTGCTGATGGACATTCAGCAACGTTTTCTGGGTGGAGTTAATATCAGATCAATATCAGATCAATATCAGATCAAAGCTTCGATCAGCAGTGCGCCGTCTGGCCCAACAGGTGATCCAACGGGGCGTTTAGATCTGCGTTCAGTCCGTTTCTTAAAGCCTGGTTCAGTGCAGCTGAGGGGTTTCCTAACTGCCTGGGTTGGATTACAGCTCGCTTGTTGTCATTGGATTACCAGCTGACAGATCAGGAAGAGCCTATTAGTCTCCATGGAAGCAGAAAGCCGGGTAATCAGAGTCGTAATTACAGAGGCAGGCAGACGCTGCAATCAGAGCGGAGAGGAGCAGCTCCAATCATCATCTCCGTCGCAGGAAGCCAGTCATTCACCAAAATATGGCTCCCTCCCCCCTCAGGGCGCCCAGGGAGCGTCACGATGCTGACCGACCTGAAACACCTGCACAGATCCGCTCAGCGCCTCCGGCCACTTCTAAAATATATCCACTCCCTGCTTCGGGAGCGGTCTCTGGTCCGCTTGGCGTTCACATTCAAACCGAACCAGAGTTCACTTCAACCAAACCCAGAACGAGGTTTGGAGGACCACAGGTCAGAGGTCGATTAGCATTCATACCTCACCAACTGGACCGGACTTTGACTAGGCAGACAGACCGGCGTTGGGTTGAAGCGACTGGGAGTGAACCTGGACACCGAGTCTGCTGCCCTCCAGGTTCGGTTCCCTGACCTCAGACTGAGTGGAGCTAACGCCGCTAAAGCTCAGAGCCGGGGAAACCGGACTCTGGGTCAGGCTGAGGTCTGGTTTCTGATCCGTCTCCGGAGCAGAAAGAGGTTTGAACCTCAGTGTTTGAGTTCATGTTATTAACTCACTGATGATGGAGGACGATCAGGGCGGCGTCCCTCAGGGCTCCGTCCTCCAGCAGCTGTCGCTCCTGATCTCATGTCCGTTCTCTTCTTCGCGCGTCGCCTTGTCGGGTTTTCCAGCCTCATCCTCTCACTCTCTGAGCGTCCTTCCTGTCAGCTCCGACTCCATCATCCTCCCGGCCCGCGGGCCTCTCAGCACCACTCAGCCATCAGTCTCTCCTGATCCTGGCTCTGAGTTTCATGTCGTCCTGGATATTGTTTTTGACACATCGATCAGATCTGGTTAAAAACCGGCTTTCAGACGCGGCCGGCCGATGGGAGTGAAACCGGAGCCTCGTTATCAGCAGAGTGACCATCGCTGCTTCGCTTCCAGCATCCATCAGCCGCATCTATCAAGATCAGCTGTTATTCTCCAGAGCTTCAGACGTTTGATCGATGCGCTGCTTTCAGACGGTTAGATTATATCGACGCAAAGCAAAGTGGGACTAAATAAAAAGTCAATATGGGAAACTTTTAAAGTTTATTTCTCAGATTTTTCCTCCTGATCTGCGATCTTGTTTATGCTCTACCGGGTCCTGATTACTGTTCGGAAGAGATGTGATTAACACCAAATGTGTTTTATGCCAGTTCACCTCCTGCCGTCGGTTGAGCTCAGAAAACGAGGAGGAAGTTGATGAGATCTGCAATCTGCTGCCTCGGTCGCTGCTTTACAGCCAAACACACAGGAGCTTCGTTACGGCAGAACCTGGAGCTCAACATCTGTCAGACGTTACGCAAGAGCAGCAAACATGTCCACTGAGAAACCAAACCTGACCCCGGACTCTGCCTGGTCCTGGAGTCCGACCTCACTTCAATAAGACAAACTAAACTACCACTGAGTTTAGTTTTAAGTAAATAATTACTACATATGGATGAAAAACCACCAGCTCCACTTGCACAGTATTTCATTTATAACAAGATGTTTTCACCATGTAAAAGTGAAATAGAAGGTAATAAAATCAGTATTAAGAAATGATTGACTTAAAACAAGTTTCTGTATCTTGCTGAAAACTTACTTTGGTTATATTTGAAGTATATGAAGACATTTGAATATATATATAGAATTCCTCGGTAGGTTTTGGTGTTTTCAGCGTCAGCGCGCCGGTCTGAACGCTTTCTGCTGCTTCTGTCTGCTGCAGCACGCCCTGCTGCAGCATGCGCCCTGCTGCAGCATGCGCCCTGCTGCAGCGCGCGCCCTGCTGCAGCGCGCCCTGCTGCAGCATGCGCCCTGCTGCAGCGCGCGCCCTGCTGCAGCGCGCCCTGCTGCAGCGCGCCCTGCTGCAGCGCGCGCCCTGCTGCAGCGCGCGCCCTGCTGCAGCGCGCGCCCTGCTGCAGCGCGCGCCCTAAGGAACTCAAACTCTCACATGTTATGCCATTAGAGGAAGAATCAGCAGAGACGTTAGCAGTGGGTTCTAATGGGACCGGGGGGAACGCGGACGGATCGTCTCGGCTTCTGAAGCTTCGGGTTGAAGCTGAACTTCCTGACCTGATGCGTTTCCTGTCGCCTGCAGTGTGCGTGTCCCGGTTCCAGTGCTGCGACATCGACACCACGGCGGGTCTGGGCCAGATGTGGTGGAGAACGAGGAAGACCTGCTACCAGATCGTAGAGCACAGCTGGTTCGAGTCCTTCATCATCTTCATGATCCTTCTCAGCTCGGGAGCTCTGGTCAGCGGCGCCATCTTGTTGTTCTGGAGGACTTCCTGTGTTACACTAGTAAACTTGACTTGACCTTTCCCGCTGTGGCCTCTCTGTCGCCCCCTGCAGGCCTTCGAGGACATCTACATCGAGCAGAGAAGGGTCGTCAAGGTGGTGCTCGAATATGCTGACAAGATCTTCACCTACATCTTCATCCTGGAGATGGTGCTCAAATGGCTCGCATACGGCTTCAAGAAGTACTTCACCAACTACTGGTGCTGGCTGGACTTCCTCATCGTCGATGTAAGACGTCCGTCACCGCTCGGTTTGCTGCTGTGTGTGTGTGTGTGTGTGTGAGATCCATGAAAACAGGACAGCAGTGAAGGAGTGTGTTGTTTTCTGATGGAGGATCTGAAAGTCTTTAAGAAACAGAGAAATCCAGCAGATGAAGAACCAGAGGGATCATCGTCCTTCATGCAGGTTTCAGAAACCGGCATGTTGGAGTTAAACTCCAGAATTTCCTGGGTTTAGTTGTGGACCTGAACAGTCGAAACGGCCCGACATCCTGCTGACGGAGCAGAAAGGCGCAGCCTGCCGCTCTCCGTCTGTCTGGGTGTTTTCCAGGAACGACGCCACATGTTGGGACGTTCTGCAGCCGCCGAGTCACACGGATCCAGCATGTGGAGGCAACACGGAAACGGAGCGCCGCCTCATTACTGCGGGCAAAACTAGTGTCTGATTTAACCTGAGAGCTTCACTCTTCACCAGCAGGGGGCAGAAAACAACCAAACACAGAGATGGACCAGACCTGGTTCTGGATTGGAGACGTTTTATTGGTTTATGTTCAACCAGAATCAACAATTTAACTCCAGAGCCTCCAGATGTCAAAATGATTTAATAATCCATTATTAAGAGCGAGATTATTACCACTTCATATTTCAAAGTAAAAGTCAAATGTAAGATTAACAGAATATTTGGTTATAAAAGGCTCCATGAGAACGAATCAGAATATCAGATTTAATATTTATAAATGATGTCAAAAATACAACTATAATCAAATGATGACATTTAAATACTAAAATTAGACAAACTAATAAAATGTACTCTGTCATAACATTATGAAATGAATTCCCCCTGAAAACAGAGCAACAGAGATTTTGCACAAACAAGAGGTCTCACTTCATCCTAAACTCCAGCTCTGTGTCTCATTGTTTAAACAAACTCCTTCATTCAGTAAAGTTACTGTTTCTGGGTTTAGTAGCCAGAAGTTTCCTGTCCTAAGAGCATCAGGACTTCGTTTAAGGCGCTGCTGTCCTTAGAGCTGCATCAGTCCAGGACTGCAGCTCGTGGCACTAAAACCCTGAAACATGAGGTCAGTCGCTGTAGCTTTTCTCCAGCCTCCTGGTGGCTCTTGAGGCTCTGCAGGTTTCTGGGTTTTAAACGTTTTTATGCAAATAAGCAGGAATCGCAGAAAAATCCCTTTTTCCAGGTTTGAAACGCTGGCCTGTTAGCGTAAGCTCCTGTTGCCTTTGATTACTCATAAGACACTCGAAATTCCTTTTTGGATCAAAAACAGCCCGTCGAAAAAATATGGTAGAAATGGACTGCAGCTGAATGAGGTAGAGGTCGGAGCGGGTCCACTACCCATCCCACCAGCAGAATGCAGCTTTTCCTCCGTTTTTAGCTGCATTGTGTTGAACTCATGATCAGAGTTCATCTATGAACCTGTATGGAAAATATGGAGTTCCACAGGGGCATTTATTATTATTATTATTATTATTATTATTATTATTATATCAATGAGGTATATAGACAGATGTTGGCTAATCGATGTCCTGTTAAAAGCATCGATCTACCAGTTTGGTTTAGTAAATCCTGTGTTTGAGCAGCTTTGCTTCGCCTGACCTTGGACCTGTGTGACCCCTGTGTGACCCCTGTGTGACCCCTGTGACCCTGTGTGACCCGTAGATCTCGGTGCTGGCCGACCTGGCCCAGTTCCTCCCGGTGAACCAGGTCACCACCCTGCGGGTTCTCAGGACGCTCAGGGCTCTCCGTCCTCTCCGGGCCGCGTCCCGCTTCGCTGGTATCAGGGTAAGAACCGGCTGACCCGCCTGGTTCTGTGCGGCTCCGCCAGAGGAAACGTCTCAGGTGGATCAGAACCTGAAACCTTTCCTCTGTTTGGATCCCAGACCCGTCCGTTCAGACCTCTCCCTGAGCGGCGCTCCTTCCAGGACTTCTTTCCTCCTGTGAATCAGAAATAACGTGACGTATTTCTGGCCTGCAGCGCCCCCTGGATCGCCTCCGTAACCTGCGCTCTGTTTCAGGCCACAGCTGACCTTTCTCCTCAGCAGGACTTGAACTCTCCTCCTCCTCTCGGCGTCAGACGAGCCGCTAACTCCTCCCTCTCTTCTGTGTCCCTCCTCCTCCTCTTCCTCCTGCCTTTCCCTCCTCTTCCTCCTCTTCCTCCTCCTCTTCCTCCAGGTTTCGTTGGTCAGTCTGGTGGCCAACACGTTGGGTTACTCCGACCTGGCAGCCATCAAGTCCCTGCGGACGCTGCGGGCCCTGCGGCCCCTCAGGGCCCTGTCCAGATTTGAAGGCATGAGGGTAAGAGTCAGGATTAATGTGAGCGAACGCACCTGAGCAGCAGCTGCCAGCAGCTCCTCCTCTGACAAAATCAACTCGTATTAAACCAGGATGAGGATAAATATGGAAAATCTGGATAATCATGAACGTGTCTGTTGATCTGAAGTTATTTACAGATTATTTCTTACCATGAAGATCTTCCAGATTTTAGTCTTTTAATTTAGATATGTAAAAATGTAAAACGTTAAAAACAAACATAAAACTCACCAACCTTCTGAGGGAATAAGACTTTTAATAACTTCAGTTTTTATGTCATTAAATCTGACAGCAGTTTACTGAACAGAACCAGTTTGAACCAGATCCGGTTCTGATCCAGATTGAACATTCCAAGTCGCTTCTAATCCCACCTGATTAATCAATTAATCCATAAATGATGAGAGATTAATGCAGATTTTATGTTTCATTTGATTCCAGCAGAATAAATCAGTTGAGTTTCAGTTTGAAATGAAACGGGAATATTTCCCAGAAGCCCCGTCTCCTGTCCTCCTGTCCATCTGTCCCTCTGTCCTCCTGTCCCTCTCATGTCTCAGTCTAACCATCGTTTCTCCTGTCAGTTTTCAGTCCCTCCAGGTTTCAGTATTACTGAGTGGAACCGGGTCGGCGTTCTGCAGAACCACCAGAACCGAGTCCAAACTCCTGCAGCTCCACAACAGGATCATAAAATGTTGTTATTGTGTATAAAACTTATTTAAAGGCTGGAAGAAAAATAAATCAGTGACAATCTGGCCTGAAATCAGATCAAGTATTTAAAACATGTCAAATTTCTTTAGGGAATAAAAATTTTATTTTCTCCAAACATTAAAGGAAACGAGTTTCTATTCTTGCTGAGTTCTGCAGGCGCTGCGACTCGGGTCCACATGAACCTTCGTCCTCCTCTTCCTCTCTGCTCTTCCTCTCTGCTCTGCTTGGGTTTCTGTGAAGAGGTGCATTATGGGTAGAAATGACTGGACCGTTTCCATCAGGCTGCAGTAAAACGGAGCAGATTGGACCAGAATGTTTTTAAATTAATGAAACATAATTCAGATTAATGTTGGGAAATAATTTGATTTGCTTCATTTTGGTTCTGATAATAATCCGCTGGACGGACACCGACCCAAACCCAGCACAGTAAACCCAACAGGCTCAGTGTTTACAGTGCGTCTCGGAGGAAATGCTGGATGTATTTTTGTCTTCTGATGATGATCACTCCGTCCTCCTGCGACATTTTGGCTTTAAAGCTAAACTTAAATATCTGAACTCCTGGTTCCACCTGACCATCAAACCGCCGTTCTGCCGTCCGGACCCGCTGACCAGTCCGGTCTGTCTGCAGGTGGTGGTGAACGCCCTGATCGGCGCCATCCCCTCCATCATGAACGTGCTGCTGGTCTGCCTGATCTTCTGGCTCATCTTCAGCATCATGGGCGTCAACCTTTTCGCCGGGAAGTTCGGCCGCTGCGTCAACCGGACCGGCTTCGTGTACGACGCCTCGATCATCAACAACCGGTCCGAGTGCAACGCCGCCAACGACACCTCGCAGCACTACTGGACCAAGGTCAAGGTCAACTTCGACAACGTCGGCGCCGGATACCTGGCTCTGCTGCAAGTGGTGAGCGTCACAGAACCAGAACCGCTCCACTCTGGGCTCAGAACCACTGACTGGGTTTATGAACACATACTCATTATTTCCCTTTTATCAGGACATTTTCCCACGTCACGCAGCATGGAAGGAAAAACCCGGTCCAATTTAATTTAAATTCAGATGAATAATTTCTGTTTCTTCTGAGACAAAGATTCAACCTCAACTGAACGTTGAGGCTGTAAAACATGTTTTCACCAGGTAAAGATGAGACGCACCGTCTCTTTAAGAGGTCATTCTTGGAGCAAACCGATTGCGCCTGCAGCTCTGTGTTTCTGTTTCATTCTGTGCCTTTTCCAAAGCTAACCTTTCCGTTTGAATCGGGATGAAGCTGCTCCCACCGAGCGCCGGGTGAAATCGGAGCGGCCCTCGTTTTTTTCACTTCGTGGTTTGAATTCAGACTCAACAGGAAGAGCGAAGCTGCAGACGCTCCCAAAGTTCACGGCTGTTTTTAGACGGAGAGCATCAGAGCCAGACCGGACCGGCTGCAGACCGGACCGGCTCAGACCGGACCGGACCGGCTGCAGAGCGGACCGGACCGGCTGCAGACCGGACCGGACCGGCTGCAGACCGGACCGGCTCAGACCGGACCGGCTCAGACCGGACCGGCTGCAGACCGGACCGGCTCAGACCCGACCCGCTGCCGACCGGACCGGCTGCAGACCGGACCGGCTCAGACCG